GACCGACTTCATGTTAATTGGGCTCCAAAATAATCAATGAGTATCCGATTGAGATTGAGGCTATGATTGATTTAAGTCGGTTCACAGTTAGATAAAGATCACATATTTTAGTTTATGCAATTTCTCGTAGGAGTCGCGATTTCAAATTTATTTCAAGACGCCATACAATAGGTTTGGATTTTATTTAAAATTATTTTCTAGAGGTCATACCATAGAGGTGGATTTTTTAAAAATATATTTCTTAAGGTCATTAAGATAGATTTTTCGTATTGATTCAAAACTTCTTCTTTAAAATTTACCATCCCATTTAGGAAATATTCTGTCAGATTTTTCACATAAAAAATTCCCTCCCGTTTTCCCTTTCATTTTTCTTTACGAGATCACATTTTAAAAATGCATTTAGTATTAGATATACATTTCCATTTATCCCATTTCGTGAATATGTAGGCATGTGTGTGTCCGTGTACAAAAAGGATAATATTGTATGCCTTTTTGTCATTGATAGTCGTTGAGGATTGAAATATTAATTTTCAATTGGCATTATTTGACAATTTGCCAAAAGTTTAATTAAAGTTCAAGCGTCAATTGAATTTCGAACAGCATCACCCACATGCTCAACTATCCCACACACACACACACCCACATATGTGTGTAAGTATAGGAAGATATATATAAAAACTCCTTACTAAGGCACAGAACTAAGCCACTCATATCGTTAGGAGATGCCTGACAAATACCAGCATCCGAACTCACCCGTCCACACTAACCCATTATCAAAGCCCGCTTTTTTGGTCTATTGATCCAAAAACTATTTCTCTTTCATTTCTAAAAAAAAAGAAAAAATACAACAACAATATAAAGAATCAAAAAGAAGAGACTCAATAAACTGGCAACTGCATAAATTCTAACAAAAAATGAAGGAAGAATTCGAATGGTCTGTTGCATGGTCACACTCACACACACACACATGTAGGCAGGCATACGAGTATATGCATGTATGTGTGTTGAGAACTAGGAAGTTCCTTGCAGCAATGTGGCATACAATGTTAGAGTGTATGCCATAGAAATTCTTTTGGACTTCAATGCTTTTGCAGCAGGGCACAAGAGACCATATTACACTTTACCCGTAGGCACCACCAACAAATGGAACATTCTCAGGCCAAAAAAAGAATAGCAGCAACAATTTTTTTTTGAAATGCATTTGCAGCAAAGTGAAGAAAAAGCAACAAGGTTTTGTATTTTTTTCTTTTGTTGCATTCTCAACGACTGGAAACGGATGCCCTGTAGTTAAATGTAGTTATACGATAGTGTCCCATACCCATATGTGCCCTTAGGGATTTTGTTTTTTTTTTTTTGTCAAACAACATACCGGAAGGCAGATACCAATAACAACAACACCGACATGTACAATAACTATCGCACATCTCAACATATATTTTTTAGGAGGAAGAACAGGCCATGACAACAGATCAACAGAAGTTGTAGCTAAAAAAAAAGTATGTGAAAAATATCATAGAGGGCCAGTGTGAACATAGTCTCAGTTGCACACTCATACACCGACCTAAAACAAAAACACACATTTGCATCGTTATCCTAAGGGTATAGATATGAGGAAATAGTTGGATTCGTCGCTTTAAAGATTTTAAAGATTCGCTTTTCCGCACATGAATGACTTAGGTATCCTAAGAAATCCAACAATTCAAAGAACACCTTGTATCTAAAGCGGACATAGAAGGTGTCTAAAATCAATCTATATTCATTCATAAGCCAGTAAGCAGAGCAGTATAATATGTTGGAGTATATGGTCGGCCCCAAATAGCCTACAAAAATAACAATGAGCTCTTAGTTTTTGCTGATCTATTTTCCGAGACGGGGTAATGTTCCGCGATATTTGCTTTCTCTTGAACGATTAGATGTAAAAAGCTTCGCATGAGATGACTCCTGATCCCATAATGAAGTGTGATGGAAGAAACTACACTAAACTAACACAGTGTTGATGGTTCTGTGGTTCGAGGTGAACTCATTTTTATACCCTACACAATTATGTTGTCAGGGTATTATTATAGCTTTGTGCAGTCCCAAGAGTTTGTAACGCCGCGAAATATTGGTCCTAGACCCACCTTTAAGTATACCGATCGTCATATCTCGACTAGCTGAATCGATCTAGACATGTGTGTCCGTCCGTCTGTCCATTATAAATTGTAAACACGATACAGTTATGGACCAATCTTCACGAAATTTTGCATGTAGGATGGGTTCTGGTCAATGACGACCCCTATTGTTTTTGGTAAAGATCGGTTAATATTTAGGGGATGAAATGGACCAAATATTTAATTTTTGTCGGTTTTTCTGGTCACTCCACAGGTTGCAATTATTGCCCAAACATCGCGAATTTTTGCATGGAGAAGGGGATCGGGCCAAAGAATAAGCATGCCTGCTTTGACAAACATCGGTCAATATTTAGCGGGTCAAATTGACCTTGACTTTTGTGTGAAAAATGACAAAATTTGTATTCTATATCGAATATTTTTACTCCTGAAGGACATATACCCGAGAAGTTGATAGTATATCCTAGAGGAGTGGTTGGCCTTTGAAATGATACGAATTCTATTGCCGGATGTGCTCAGATATGGGAGTTATACATAATAAGGTAAATTAAACTATGCGCATAGTATTACTATTATTCCATTAAAGGACGGAAATGTCGCGCTGATCGCTTTGAAATTGTAAAGGAAGTTCCGATTATGGTCAAGGACGACGCCTATAGTTTTCGGTGAAGTTAAGATTTCATTCAGGGGGTGCAATGAATTTTGTCAGATGTTCTAGTCGCTCTAGAGACAATTATTATATGCAGAACATCGCATGTTTTACAAGGTGAAGGAGATGTAACCAAATACTTAGAGCGGCTGTTTAGATGATGATCGGTCAATATTCCGAGGGTCAAATCAACCAAAGAATAAAGTGACAAGTTTTTTTTTTTATTTTATGGCGTAAAAATTCACTTCAAGAAAAAGTATGGAAATATGTCAGGGTTAGAAAGTTGAGCTGTTGACCTATAATCGATCAAGAGGATTCAAATATCACGAAATATTGTCCAGTTTCACAATATAGAACCGCAGTAAGTTAGAGTTCCGTGGTAGATGTGTAGGGTAATATGGTCGGCCCCGTCCGACTATACTGTTCCGCTCACTGGTTTTATAATATTTTCATAATTCTAGACCTACTTATGAATATATTCAAGCTGAGAAAAATCTGCAACAAAGTCAAACGCCATAATTTTTACATTTGTTTTTTTTAAATTTTATTGAATGAAAGCAAAAAATTTCGGAAATAGCATCAAATTTTAGAAAAAGTTTAGATTTGTTCGAATTGACCACCTTTGGCACGAATTATGGCCTTCAAACGGCCAATGAAACCGTCACACGCTACCCGAATGTTGCTCTGCGGTACTTTGGCCCATTTCCGGCGAAGTGAAGTGATCGACATTTGGTATTTTTTAGTGCCAACCTTGCTTTCCAAAATACTCCAGACCAATAGTCCAACGGATTGGTATCCGGAGATTTTGGTAGCCATTGTGCGCTGGAAATAAGGCAAGGAACCTCATTTTGTAATCATTCTTGGGTGGCGCGGGCTGAGTGCTTTGGTGCTAAGTCCTGTTGGAATGCCCAAGGTCTGCGGCAAAAATGTTTGCGTGCCCAAGCCTTTAATACACCCTCCAGAATATTTTCACAATAATATTTGGCATTTATTCTGATGCCAGGGTCGATTAATACGAGCTGAGGGCGACCATCGGCTGTTATGTATGCTGTTATGTATGTTACGGCCCACAACATCACCATGGCCGGCGCTTAAGTTCTTGTGGCCAACCGAAGGTGCACATTTTCAGCTGACCTCTTTGGCAAGTAAACATGATCATTTTGTTTGTTTACAATCAGCTGGACAACGAATGTTTTCTCATTGGAAAAAACAAAATTCGGCAGTTCTCCACTTTCGGCCAAGCGAATCAACTCTTTAGCTCTATTGAGTCAATTTTCTTTCGATTGCGGTGAATGATCTCAATTTAATTCCATAATCGAGTTAAATTTACCTAAATTTATCATACAAAATTAAATCCACTCAATATTTCGATTTGTTCGAAATTCTATTCTAAATCGAGATAATTTCGAATACAACCCTGCAACCCAAAAAATTCATCACTTCTCCTAAATGGAGCAACGTTAAAATACCAAATAGTTTTAAGGCCTATTAACAAGGTTATCCAGGGAGACAAGCTGCATATCAGCTGCTTCTCATGTTTGCTGTCAAAATCCATTATTGTGAATTGACTTCCATTACATAAACAACGTCAAAAACTTTTGACATTCACCTTGAGAAAAATCAGCTGACTTTCGCTTGATGTGTGACCTTACTATTAGATCTTGAATGAACAGCAGCTAGGATTCAGAAGGCATAGTCTAAACGTACCTTTACATTTTAGCAATTAAATTTAAATATAAAGCTCAGAAAGCAAAAACAGCTTTTATTTCTCTAAACGTCAAAAGAAACTTTTGAAACAGCTGATCATTCTATGTGATCCCATGGCACAATATATAGGTAGTACCAGCAACGTACACAGGATTTCATTTCGGGGGGCCCGGTAGTACAAAATGAAAAAATTCGCTGTTGCAAACATAAATTTACTGTGAAAAAAAATCATTTCGGGGGGGCCCGGGCCCCCCTGCGTACGTCCCTGGGTAGTACATTTAGTGCAGCTGATGTCTCGCTTAACTGTCAAAGTGGATAATTTCTACATGAATTCGATGTGAACTATTATAATGAAAATGTTGACATATAGTCGAGACAAAAACAAAGGTCACCCAGAAAGATCAGCTGTTTCTGTCAAAAGGCATTATTGTGAATTAACGTCACATTACGAAAAGACCCATATTGTTGCCATTAATCTTGATAAAATAAATCTGCTGATTTCCCTTCTTTGACAATTGTTTATACCTCGATAAAATATGAAAATATCCAGTTTCGATGTATTTGCTTGTCAAGTTATATGTTTTTATGTTAAGGTCTAGAGTTAGAAGAACTTAAAATAAAGTGAGATCCCATCGAAACAAGAACCATCATCCAATATAAATATCGCGTTGTTTTTATTATGTCGCACTTATAATAAGACTGGGAATCGTTCTCATCGAGTAGCTTTAACCTTCCTTTTGCTATCGAGGGAATATTTTAAGACCAATTCTACCTATTTCAACTATTTCGTTTTCTTAAATTTTAAATATTTATTTCCTCTCTCCCACTCTCTCATTTCAGGTTGCCCTCTGCGATAATCTCGAATTGCCCTTTCGTGATGAATCATTCGATGCGGTGCTATCCATTGCCGTTGTGCATCATTTCGCCACCACCGAGCGGCGAGTTAATGCCCTCCGCGAATTGGCACGCATTTTACGAATTGGTGGTCGGGTTGTAATAACCGTTTGGGCACTGGAACAACGACATCGACGTTTTGAATCGCAGGATGTCCTAATACCATGGCAACCACCAAAAAATCGTAATTTTAACTATTCCGATGAAGAAGATGATGAGGATTTCTTGCCACCCTATCATGCCTACACAGAGGATTCAACAAATTCAAGTCGTTCGGCAGGAGATGGTGATAGTTCGAGCTTATCTTCCTCATCACCAGGGGAATCGTGTTATAGTTTTGTGAGAAGGGCAATACAGGTAAGTCATGGATATAACTGGAATTGAGATGGAAGTGTGACTTTCTTTTGGGTCTTCCAGAAACTAGCCGGCGGCCGCAAACATGCTTGGTTCTTGGAATCATGGACCTCCAAAGATACCAAAAACGACAGCAGCATGGACTATGAAGATGCCAAAGATCTGCCCATCGAACTGAGACGTTTGGAAGATTTTGAAGATTTCACCGATCCACCACTATCGGCGGGTCTTAAATCACGCAGTCTGGGTAGTATACTCAATCCACCACCACGACAAATTGTACGCTCACGTTCAAGTGTACCTAGTCTGGGTGGTCCTCTGGTCCCTTGCCAAGAGAGTGGTAATAAAAATCTGCAATTCCTCGATGCTCCACAATATGGAGTTCCCTCGTCCTCGGGTGCTATTTCAGGTTCTCCCAATTCCAGTGGGCACTCCAATGGCCATTCACCCATCAATCATGCCAGTACTTCGCCCAATACAACAAATCTTTTAACCTCCAGCTCCGCATCAGCAGCCACAACAAATCTCAGTCGCCGTCCTAAACTTATCAAACAAAAACAATCGCTATGCGATGAAGATTATCAACTGCCAGATACCCCTTTCCATATGTTGAGTCAATACAATGTGACAACAAATGGTGTGACCAATACGCTATATTCTCCCAAGGCAGGTCATCGTTCGGATTCGGGTCATTTGACCACGAGACAAATGAGAAAACAAAGTTCGCTGAATGAGGAGTTGATGGCGGGTAATCGGATAAGGGAAAAGGAAAGGGTGCGCAAACGAATACAAAAACAAATGTCGCTGAATGAGGCATTTCTGTGTCGTTCCGCTCTCTTTTCGAAGAGGCTGCAGGTTATACGAGAAGGCTTCACAAGTAAAATTAAAAGTTCAACGGGTAGCTTGGAGAGGGTAACCAAAACGGGTATTACAAAAATCATGCAGAATCTCAAGACGGCGAATAATGCGGAGGAGGGTGGCAGCGGAATGGCAAATGGCCCCAGTCCAAGTAATGTTAAGGCCTCTAAGGCAGCCATGTGTACCCATGAACACCATCATCATCACCACCATCAACAGCAACAGCAACATTATCAGCAGCCGCAGCCGAACTCCCCCTTAGTTAGTAATTTCCAGACCCATTTACATCATCTGTTGCATCGCCAAAATACCGCTCCAACGACCAATAAATTTGCCGGACCGGTAACCATTTGTAAAAGTTTGGAATGTGCCGCCACCGCCTGCTACTGTCAAACCTATCATCAGGGTTGTTCACAATGTAACGCCGAGAGTAGTGAGGAGAAGGCCCGTAGGCATTCCCGAGAATCTGGTTCTGATTCGTCCAAGGATAGTAGCCTACAATCGGATACCAGTATAGAGTCTGAAGATAGTTTTGCCTCCGTCATTTTTATACCCAAACCAGAGCAACATCAGCAACAGCTGAACTATCAAAAACAACATCAAAATTCAAATTCCAGTTCGAGTAATTCCTCCTCGAGTAATGGGGGTGGCAGTGGTGGTTGCTATGTCCACAAGACCTGTTGCCAGAGTCGTTGTGTTTCGGCCACATCCTCCAACCTGGGTGGTGGTGGCGCCCAATGTTGTAAACTAGACATTAATGGTCATCGTATATCCTCCGTACCAACTTCGCCGCTAATTATGCCCTGTCCTCCCACACCTGCCCATTCACCGGCTGCGGCCCAGACTCAGGTCACCTCACCGCCACAATCGGTGCCAGCTGTTGTGGCGGCCATGGCCATGTTTACACCACCAGCCGTGGCGGCTGCCAAAACGGCCATTGCAGAAGAGCAGGAAAATGGCGCCCAAGAGAAACCCCTAACAAATGGTCTGGCCAAGACCAGATTTAACTTTGATGAGGCCCACATAAGGCAGCAGGAAAGTAAGGATTTATTACAGCAAGAGCAGCAACAACAGCAGCCACACCAGCATCCACAATTTAAAATGGAGGTGAAGAAACCGGAACCCCTTAGAGACCCCTTGGAAAGGGAGAGGAAAATTTTTCTAGAACCCAAAATTACAAGGCAGACGATACAAAATCTACCAGCCATACCCAAGTTCCGCAAACAACAATCCCTGCAGATAAGTCGGCAAAATTATCCCATTGTGCGTAGGACAACCACTGGGGCTGGGGGTCCTGCCATTGCCACCATACCCAAGCTAATGTCTTTGGAACTTTTCAATCCGGCCACAGATGATTTGGACAGTGATTCCAGTGAGCCATCCTCTCCGGACTCGGTGGATAGTGTTATTAGTGCACCACGTTCTAACGCCTTAACTACGGCCCCTAGTTTGGATGCTGGTAAAGATTCCAGTCCCTTGGAGGAGAAAGAAAAAACCACTGCTCAAAATTCAAATAAATCTCCTCCCCATCACCCAGATCCCGATATCATTGTCAACGATGATACGGGTGAAATAATCCCCACCAAATATGGTGGCCAGCAAAGTAATCCGCCCGAGGATTGTGCCGAATTTGCTGAAAAACTTAGTGCTCAGTTAATGCGGGAATTGGAGGAGAAGTCGCAAAACCCAGAGACGAAAAGTCGTAGCTTGGAAAATGTCAGCGAGGAATTCTATGATGATCCGTTTGCTCCTCAGCCGCACCGCAAGAGGAATGGTGACAAGGATTTGACTGCCTTAAGGGATGAATTGCGCGAACGGCGTCTAATGCTGGCCAATCTCTCCACCCAACCCAGCCTAAATCAATCGCCAAATTCCTCTTCCACCTCATCACTGTCCTCACAAACCCGTAGCTTTACTATACACGAAGAGGACGAAGAAGAAGATGAGGAGGAACATGAGCGCAGCTATTCGCTGCAGCTCTACGAAAATTGTAAAATCTCCAAGCTGAACTATAAACGCCATCTACACAACAACAATAATTTACATCCCGAGACCACTTATCTGCTGCAGGATGAAGATTCCTCTTTTAAGGATGAAGAAGAAGACAACGACGATGAAGTGGAGGAAGGAGTAGCAGAAATTGAACACGACGTCATACCCGAAGAAGACGAAGAGGATGAAGATGAAGAACCGAGCCAAGACAACGATCGTTCCTCAACGAAAACCAAAGACACAACCCTAAAATGTGACTCTCTCGACGACAAGGAGGATGAGACGAAAAAGAGTTCCGGCGAAGAGACCACGCTGCAAAATCGCAACCAATCCACAGAGTCGTGGGAACATTCGAACAGTTCGACTACATCACTTGATAGCCCCTCACAAGGTGGCGCCACTACACACCATCGTTACTATCACGTTTTTCGTGAGGGTGAACTGGATGCTCTGATCAATCATCATGTCGCTAGCCTGCACATCGTGTCGTCGTATTATGAGCGTGCCAGTTGGTGTGTGGTTGCTGAAAAAGTGCAAGTATGGACAATTTGAGTGGTTGGCTGGATAGAATACTAAATAGATAGAAGTTAGATAGTGTGTGGATTTGGAAATAGAAAAATGATAAAATTCGACAATGTTGAAATCCCATATACAACCCCCCATGTATACACAACATGCCTAATTTATTTGTTATTCGAATGATGGAAAAAAGCTCAATATTTTATTTAATTTATTTATATTCTATATTAATAAGTAGTTAAGATTTAGAAAACCTCTTTTTTGGCAGCGGACAAAGCGGTATTTTGTACTAAAATAAATAAAAAAGTAATTTTCATGAAATTTCTTATAAAAATTCATATTCAGCTGAGCTGAATTGCAGATTTATAAACGAAAATAGCATTTGGTGAAGTAAAAAACAAATTTGGCTATGAAAAATAAAATTCAGCTCAGCTGAATTGCAATTTTTCAACTGAAAACATGATTTGTATGCGTAAAATGTGGAAATTTTATATGAAACGGCATATTCAGCTGAGCCGGGCTGAATTAATGTTTTCCTATTGAAAACCTTATTCAGCCAGGCTGAATTAATGTTTTCCTATTGAAAACCTTATTCAGCCGGGCTGAATTAATGTTTTCCTATTGAAAACCCTATTCAGCCGGGCTGAATTAATGTTTTCCTATTGAAAACCTTATTCAGCCGGGCTGAATTAATGTTTTCCTATTGAAAACCTTATTCAGCCGGGCTGAATTAATGTTTTCCTATAGAAAACCTTATTCAACCGGGCTGAATTAATGTTTTCCTATTAAAAACCGTATTCAGCCGGGCTGAATTAATGTTTTCCTATAGAAAAACTTATTCAACTGGATTGAATTAAATATTTCCTATAGAAAACCTTATTGAGCTGGGCTGAATTAAAGTTTTCATAACCATTTCTTTATTTCAACGTAAAATATACCCTTAAGTTCACATTGCCATACCCTAAAAATAAATTGTAAATATTTATTGAAAAAAAATATTATTTGCCAACATAAATATAAAAATCAATCATAGTTCTCGCTCCTTTAATCTACAGGAAAACGAACAACTTAACATTATTATAAAGACTTTATAAAATTTATAAAAAATATTAATTACAATAATAAGAAAAAATTAATATATATTAAAAAAATAAAACATTTTTAAATTATAATAATTCATCATGCCTCTAAATGGGAACCAACTATTAACATAATATCAAAGTTGGCAACCCTAGAAAACAAAACAAAAATAAGAAGATATTGAAATTATATTCCCCATATTAAAAAACAAAATATACTCCTTTGATCTACTATAATTGGATTTAAAAATTAAATAACATTAAAAAAAACATAACCTAAAAACCAAAATCATAAATATAAACAAAATATATCTATGAATTTAAACAAAAAAAAAATAAAAAATCGCGTGGCAAAAAAAGAAATTAAATTTTTTTGAAAAGCCGCCTCATTTGTCTCATATTTTTTTTTTTCGATTTTTTGTGACAAAGGTAATTACAAGAAGATCAGGTCAGTTGTAATAAAAACGTTTGTTAGACTGGCCTTAAACTTCATTAAATGAACAAAAATATTTTTACCAAATATTATCAATAATATTTGTAGTATTTAAAGTAAATAAAAAAACAAATACATTCATACACACATAAAAGGTTTAAAAGGAATTGCAAAATTGAAAATTTTTTCTAGTATTAATAAAACATTTTTATAGGTTAATAAGTACTAAATATATAATATATATACATAAATTGTTATGTAATATTAAATAAGATTTAAGGAATCATCGAAGATTTTTATTTCATTTCAATTCGATTGGTTTTTTTGTTTATTTATTTTTTTTTATTATAATTTTATTAACATTACCTTCTCATTATTGTGAATTGTTATTATGTTAGCGTTGATACGCCATAAACAGTCGAGCATTGCAAATGATGTAAAAACGCCATATCCACTTACCATTTGTATACAGTGGCGTGCACAAATGTTCAAATATTTGTATTTGGAGCTTTTTTAATGGCATCCATAAGGTGGAAGTATTCACGCGAGACCCTATAAAGTACTCTCTGATTAATATTCTATTTGGAATCAGCGATCTCCGGCTCTGTGGTTATGATTTATTCTAAAAATTCAGTAGGGAAACCCATGAAATGTTAGTTTCATCCATAACAATGAAACTACAAAACTTTTATGGACTCTCAAATTATCAAGATTGTTGCAATTTTTAGGGTTGCCTCCATATATCGGATCCTACCAAATTACGGTATTTTGGAGATTTTGGGGACATTTTTTAAACTAATTCGATGTAAACTGATAAATATGCTTCTCATTGGGTAGCAAATCTTCCTACCAACAGTTATTAATATTGGTCCAGGATGGACACGTTTTTAACCCGAATTAAGAAGAGAATATCGCCAATAAAGAGTATTAGCGACTCTATAGGTATTTTGATGGTCCTAGGCGCATTTCCCAGCCTGTAATTTAGGATTACGGGACATTGATGAATAAAAAACTTAGTATAAATGTTAACAAAGGTCATGTATCATTGTCGGTATTGATTCTCCATTACGTCATAGAACCTCACTCTCTATATCCTTCTTCATACGCCCTGATGAGATGACTCCTGATTTCATTCTTCCGCGGTAAACTCATTTTGTTCAAAATAGCTTCTTAACTCTAAGCCTAGATACTTACTTACTTAGCTGACTTGTAACAGAACGGTTGTTCCATAAGCCGAGCTTAATAAAGATTTCCAAGCGCGTCGATTTTGTGCGCATCTAATCCAATTTGAAAGACCATGTACCGAGATATTGTCTTCTACATGATTTTTCCATCAGATGCGTGGCCTTTCCCTTCTGCGTGGATCATCACTTGGCTCGCTTTTATATGCCTTTTGAGTGGGGGGTATACTCATCCATACCCACAACATACTGCAACTCGATCCATCTGAATATGTCGATGTCCGAGAATAGATGGTATAGCTCATGGATCATTCGACGGCGATATTCACCGTTCAGATCGGTCCATAGATCTTCCAGAGATTTTTTTCTCATTTTTCTTCTTCGGATTTCAAAGCTAAAGTTTTTTTTTTATAGCGGTACCGAGGTATATAAAATCTTTTACTGCCTCGAAGATGTAGTTCCACAGAAGCAAGTTCCACGGTTGGTCCGAGTCTACTGTACGTCTTTCACGTTGATACCATCAGCTTGGTTTTCTCGCCATTTACTGCCAGTCCCACTTTGTCAGACTCCTTATCAATTCGTTTAAATGTGGATGTTACCGCTCGCAATGATCATGATATCGGCGTAGGCGAATAACATACGTTGTTTGGAGTACAAAGTGTCTTTTCTGTTCACATTTGCATTTCGTATGCCCATTTCCAGCAGGTTGTTAAACAGGTTACACGACAAACTGTCACCTTGTCTGAATCCTCGTTCGGTATTGATGGTCTTCGAAAGGTCCTTGCAGACATTAACTGCTGACCATGTGCAAAGCCGTATTAATTTTGCAGGAATGTCGAACGCAGACATGGCCTTAAATACCTCTGAACGGATAGGGCTGTCGAATGCGGCTTTTAAGTCGACGAATAGGTGGAATGTGTAGATGGGTTTTTCGTGGGTCTTTTACAGGATTTGGCGCAGAGTGAAATTCTGGTCAATGGTGAATTTGCCAGGCCTGAAGCAACATTGGTATGGTCCAATAATGTCATTGACCTTTGGCTTCACTCCTTCACACAGAACGCTGTATAGCACTTAATATGCGATGGGAAGGAGACATATTTCACTTTGATTACAAATGAAACCACACTTTGCTAGACAGAATCTAGCTAAGTGTGGTTGTGGTTAATATGCTAAATGGTGGGTGTAAAGGCGCCGAAATTGCGTTTCGAAAAAGGCAATGAAATAAAAGACGAACGTATTAGTTTCTGATTCCAGAACATTGTTGAGGTAATAAAAATAAATAATAATAGGGAAAATAAAGAGAATTGGGAAGAACAGATTACCTGTGTTACGTGTAGCGATCGTGACGAAAAGAAGAAGATCAATAACAATGCTGAAAAGTGTCATTGGCGCAAAACTATACTCATTAGAAAACTGTCAGTTCAATGTTGTAGCAATAAAGAGTATGCAGTTTTCTAATGAGTATGCAAACAAACACAATGAACACGAGCGTTCAAAGGATGCATTTCCCAACAATACAAATAAAAGCGATTCTTACTTAAACAGTGGGTTTAGGGCCTATATTTCGTGGCGTTAAAATTCTTGGGGTCATACAAACTTATAATACCAGCTCGAAATAGTTGCGTAGTATATGTATAAAAATAAAAATTTTGAAATGCTGAATTTTATCAAATATTTTTATTCAAGTTTTATTAAATTTTTAAAGAAAAATATAGTTTTAATTGGGTTCTTTTATTCTTTATATAATTTAATATGCCACTCCTGAAATGCCGAATTTCCCATAACGTCGTTCAATTTATCATATTTATTTTTTTAATTCTAATATTTTTGTATTTCTAACTTCTATTGATAACTTTTAAGCGTGACTCGAATAAATGGCGTCTACTTTTATTTCATCATCTTTGTTGTTCTTTTTCCCCTTAACAGGGTTGCATTTACCAATATCAATTTGTACTTGGTAATCATTTTATTATAATAGGTGATTTCGTTAATGTATTCCACTACACTATTTTATTTATTTATTTTTTATTTAAACCCTTATAAAACTAAACAAAAAAACACAACATGAAGATCGTTACATTTTTTCAACCAATATTAATAGAAACGTAATTTTTTCATATAAAAATAACTACCCAAAATATAACCCAAAGCAAACCGTAACATTTATATATAAAACCATTTAACAAGTATATAAAAACACCTTAAAATAATATATCAATAAAAATGCATTTACATCTTTTGAAATTCCAAAGCAACCCAAAAAATAAAAACAAAATGAAAATAGTATTAATTGCTGCCATCACTAATCTACCACAATATAAATACCCCCTCTCTCTCTCTCTCTTACATATACCAAAAAGAAAAGGTAAATTTTCATTTCCATATGTCTGGCCATCTAAAAATCAAAATTAACTGGCAAGCAAAATAAAAGTATTTATTTATAATTTGTCATTTATAATCGAATTCATGGTATAATTAATAAGGTAGCATTTTAACAGCCCGAAAGAGTATCAGCTGTTCATCCTGTTTGGCCTTAAAAATAGGCCGTGCCAAGGATTATTGATCAGGTCATCTAGTAAGATCAGCTGCTTCTCAAGTTTGCTGTCAAGATTCTTTATTGTAAATTGACTTTACATTATAAAAACTTAAATAACGCCAAAATCAAGATCTATTAATAAGGTCACCCAGCAAGCGAAAGTCAGCTGATTTTTCCTAATTGGGCTTTGTTTAAGTTTTCATAATAGAAGTCAATTCACAATCATGGATTTTGACAGCAAACATGAAAAGCAGCTGATATAAAGCTGGTCTCCTTGATGTCTTGATATTTTTTGAGTTGAATGTAAACCTATCCTAAATGTATAAGGTACGTTTAGATCATGGCACAATAATTAGGTAGTCCATTTAGAGCAGCTGATGTCTTGATTAACTGTCAAAGTGCGTAATTTCTACTTGAATTCGATGTGCAGTGTTGCCAACCCTTTTAAATATTATATGGAAAAATTTGACAGATAATCGAGACAAAAACAAAGGTTTTTGTTATCATACATCACCTTATTTTTGCATCATGGTTTAGATTTACGAAATCCACTCGATCTCAAATGTCAATTCCATAGCGTATACGTCAAATATCCAATGGATCATGGCACATTAAATAGGTAGTCCATTTAGCGCAGCTGATGTCTCGAATAACTGTCAAAGTGGGTAATTTCTACTTGTATTCGATGTGTAGTGTTGCCAACCATGTGAAATATTATAAAGAAAAATTTGAGAGATGGTCGAGAAAAAAACAAATTTGTTTGTTATTTTACATCACCTTATTATTGCATTATGCACATGATTAACTTTGAGATCGAGTGGATTTAGTTGTCTAAACGTAGCCTTACACCATAAACCTTAACGTATGGCAAGTGTAACACTGCCAAACAAAACAAATGTATGGTGTAAAAACGCCTTCATTTGTTAGGCGTTTCTTAACATTCGTTTAAATGGCGGATTTTCCTTGATAATTGTACCATGCTAAGTAGTAATAAAAATACAAAAAATATTATTTTCCCCCTTTTTTATTTTTTTTATAATAAAAGTATTTCCAAAATACTCTCTGTTTTTTGTTTAAATAAACGAAACTAACACAAAAATTGTAACAAAACAAACAAAAAATCAATGAAATTGTCTGACTGTGAATGAGTTTTTAAATGTAGTTAGCCCAAAAACAAAACAAATAAGAACTTAAAAAAGTAACGAACTAAATAAACTCTTAAACAATGAAGGTTAGGAAACATAACCTAACCCTAATAAATAATTAAAAAAAAGAAAATTAGGCGCCTAAAAAATATTTACAAATTTCAAAAAAAATAAATAAATAAACAAGGAATGATTGTATAAATATGATTATGAAGTTTGGATATGCTAACAACATTCCCCCATTAACTATTAATAATAATAACAACAACATTTTTTTTTTTCAATTTATTTAACATAACCTCAAAAGGAGCAAACAAATAGTTTATAGCTAAAATAAAATAACAGGAAACTTACACTTGTATTATATTTACAAAACACACATTCAAGCATAATAAAATAAAGAAAAATAAAATATATTTATTAAAAAAATGCTTTTATATAAATATAGTAAATATATGCCTAATTACATACCTACATACATAATTAAAATAACTAAAGAATCCCCTAACCTATAAATGAGAAATAAAAATAAAACACAATATATTTGACTTAATACCTTTAAAATACAAAAAATAATAAAATAAAAAAAATCAACTTTAGTTCCAATAAAAAAAGATCTATAAATAAAAAAACAATATGAAGTTTTATTATTTGGTTAATAAAGTGAGGTTAGGTTAGATGTATTTTAAGGTAAGTTTTACCGTTCTCGATTTAAGTCTGTACTTATTTAATTGTTCTCTATAAACATCCCAATCAGTACTCAATTTTGTCTTACTGGCTTTATTGTATGCTTTGTGAGCAGATTTTTCGTAGGGCTGCTAGTTCAATAGACCGCCATACCAGCAGAGGTTTCCTCCCAGGATATGTTAGTGGGAAATAAGTCTTATGACATCTTAGAAGAGCAGCATTATTCTCACAGTTTGTATTCCAAGGCCAGGAGAAGTGTAAGTTCGGGTAAGTGAATAAGACGGTGGCTAGAATTACACCGATTTCGAGTTGTTTCATACACAAAACCGAACTAGAATTATTAATTGGGCGCCATATCCCAACCAAAATCAATACTTACTTTACTTAGCTGGCTTATGAGAGGACTGTTGTTCCATAAGCCGAGCTTAAAAAGATTTCAAGGCGCGTCGATATCGTGCGCATCTCATCCAATTTGAATGATCATTTTCCGAGATGTTGTCTTCTACTTGATCTTTCAATCGGATTCGTGGCCTTCCCCTTCTGCGTGAACCTTCACTTGGCTCGCTTTTATATGCCTTCTCAGCTGGGGCATCTTCATCCATTCTCACAAGATGGCCTAACCAACATAGTCGCTGCAGCTCGATCCGTCTGACCATGTCGATAACCGAGAATTTATTCGACGGCGATATTGTAGCTGTCACAGAAGTTGACTCAGCTGTAGCGAACCCACGCTTTGTATTCGCCATTTTTGTTAAATCCAGCAACAACTGATCAATTGTCATAACCCTGGATTTGGGTTTCGGCAATTCAACAGTAGGCGGATCTCGCGGTTTGCGGATCGGCAGGTTTGTTCTTTCGCTCAAGACATCATCCTGGATGCCTTTCAGCGGTCCGTCATGAACAGTACTTTGCCTTCATCAGTAGTGGATGATGGTCATGGGGAAATCTCAACAGTCAGAGACCCTTTGGGGATTGCTGAGTGATCAGAAGTCCCAGCCATCATTGTCTTGATTGTACTCAGAATACTCACAGTCTTCTCCTTTTCTGGGGGAGGGACTACTGTGGTAGACTTCGAACGCTACGTAGGAATTCTTTTAATCAGGAAGTCACTCGAAATGTCAGTTAGATAGTTTCGAATGAACTTCCAAATGAATTTCAGATTCCTTTTAATCAGAAGGAATTCCTTGTCGGTTATAGAGTCCGCGGCCCGTCCGATAAATCGGTTGTAGAAGTTAATTGGTATCCGGTAAATATTTTTGTCAGAGATCTCTTTGGCATTTGCGGTTTCGGTAGTTTCTTGTGCTTATGATTCATTAATCGTTTCGATGGGATGGTCATAGGCACCAGTCTCTACTTCAACAGCGAGCTGCGTCTCGAGAGACTTCATTGCACGCCGTGTAGATGGGTTTGGGATCTTCGTCCTCGCTAGAGATTGCATATTTTCTCATCGTCGTAGAAGACTCACCTTGATTTGGAATAATCACCAGGATAACCATTGTGTTAATTACCGTAGTGCTATTCACAGTAGTATCCAGCACCTTCCTCGTCTGACAAAGGTGAGTCATCTCAGAGAAGAGTCGAGATACCTTCCTAAGGTGAAAGGAGCCGGTTACCTCAATAAAGTCTGCAGGCTTGCATTGATATCGTCTAGAATAATGGAATTTTAGGAAACCGCTACATTGGCATTGGTCGTCATGGTTTGTGGAGGTTAATTGGCATCTGACCATGTCGAGTTCGAGACTGACTGTGGGGACTTAGTGTCAACCATGGCATGGTCTCTTACAATGGTAAGAACTCGCCAGCTGAGCCTGGAAAAACTTATCGAGGCGCCCAGGTATCAACAATTCTCCGTTCGAAGGTCAAATGATGGATCCGTGAGCTAGGTACGATGCGGCGAAAAGTTGTGCGAATGAGGAAGAAATTCCAGAGTGCCAGATGGGGCAAATGCGGATGATTTACTTAAATATAAATCTGAACTCCTTGCTGCACTTACAACGTGTAAGGACGAGCTTTTTAGGTGCAGGTATGTATGGATTATTTCTCCACTTCTTGATGAATCGGCGCAGCCTTCGAGTTTTGATTATATAGACGTCTATTGGTAGAACGGTGAGCAAGTTACGATGCGGCTGCAAGTTAAGCGATTGAGTTAGATATTTCAGAGTACCAGGTGGGTCAATGCAGATGATTTACTTCTATGAGAATTCCTTGCTACACTTAGGACAAGTATCTGCCGGATAAGAAGTAAGAAATCTCCAGTTATGGATGTTAATGAATTGGCAAAGCCTTCGAGTTTTGAACGTATAGAAGTTGCGGACAGTATCTGCCGGATTCGAAGTAGAAAATCCCCAGGTATGGATGGTTTAATTGGATGGCTTAAAGCCATCTAGAAGGTCATACCGGAATATAAGTGTTACTTCAACGTGAGTGGGAAGCAACATCTTAGATGTGGTGCTGCTTAAGTCGTCCAATAGAGTAAGAAATGATCCGTGCTCGTATCGGGGCATACGTCTTCCCGCAGTACTTGGAAATGTTAGTCGTCTATTAAGCCCATTTTGGGGGCTTCACTTTTCCTCTTCTTTTTTGTATTATTCAGAAAACTCTTTCTAACATATTAAAAACATCTTTTATTTATATTAAATGGAATATTTATGTATATAATAAATAAAATACAATTATTTTAAACATCTGCATGTTTACGTCTTATGTGTTTATAGAAATTCGATATATCGGTAAATGTCTTTGGACAATGTTGGCAAGCGTGTTCCTTAATACCCAAGTGAACCTTTAAATGGGCGCTCAATGCACTGCGAAAACGAAAACGTTTCTCACAGAATTTACACTCTAACGGAGTCTCACCGGTGTGTACCCTCTCATGCGTGATACTTTCCATTCGCGTACGAAATGTTTTCGGACAAAATTGGCATGCGAATGGTTTTTTATCGGTGTGAACAATTTTATGACGTTCCATAATTGTTGCCGTCTTAAAACTGTAACGATAAGAGAGCAGAGAGGGGAGGATGGATGTTTAATAAAAAATACTTATTTTTATTAGATCGACTTACTTTTTATGACAAATATCACATTCAAATGGTTTCTCTGAATTATGCGTAAAGATGTGCGATTCCAAATGAATTTTACTAAAGAATTTCTTGCCACATATCGTGCAGGCAAATTCACGTTTATCTGGAAAGAGGAAATATTCAATTAATAAGATCTTAACATGGAGGGAGTGATTTATATATAGGAAAAAGACAAGTCTTCTAAAATAAGTTATATTTTGATTCTATAAGAAGCCATTTTTGGAGAAGTCATTACTGGTCTTCTATAAGAGGAACTACTTGGTGTTCCACAAAAAGACCTATTTGGTATTTCACAAGAAGACCTTCTGGACATCTATAAGTAAACCTACTAGTCTTCTATAAAAAATACCTATTAGACTTCTATAAAAAGACTTACTAGTGTTCAATAAGAGGATCTTCCAGTCTTCTACACAAAAACCCATTTTGTTTTCAAAAAAAGAAACCCCCATTTGCCTTGTCTAAGAAGAACATTTGAGTGGTATATAACAAGACCTAAATCCTACTTAGTATCCAATCAAATTTTTATTTTATTATTCCTTCAACTTACATCCGTGTGACATTTCATGATTGAGCAGGCTACGCCTCCATGTATATTCCTTGCTGCAATATTGGCATTTATATTTTGGCTTCTTGCCCGCCCCCGAATGATACTGCCGGGTATGTGCTTGTAAACTAGTATTCGAATCGAAATTACGAAAGCATTGTTTACAGGGTACAACTTCGGGATATTGTGCAAGCTGTGTACAATCACGACTACGATGATTGGCATAATGGACATAATCTTTACAGGCAATATCACAGGCATCACATTTCAATTTCAATGCTGGATGATGTTCAAAACGAATGTGATTCAGGAACGTAACATAATGGTTAATTAATTGCTTGCAATCATAGCATTTATATTGCAGATCTTGAAGATTTTCAATGGAGTGTGTGCTATTGGCATGATTGAATAGATCCATAGGTGTTACGGCTTTGTAGTCGCAAGAGCTGCAAAGAAATGGATATGAGGTCCAATGTGACAATTGCAAATGGGGTGGTAAGGTGGAGGAGTCCTAGAAAATATACCGAAAAAATAAATTAAATAAAATATTAACACATTATCTAATTAATAGTCTCTACAAACCTCCGCTACCTCATAATTTTCATTGCCTACATCCTCTTCCTCTACCTCCTCCATATCGTATTCATTTGCATTACTCTCCTCCAAATAGATCTGTTCATCATTGACCGTGTCCTCTTCATGATATTCCCCTTCATTGGTTCCACTTAATTTAGTATTGTTAACCTGGTCCTCAACCTCATAATATTCCGAAGTTTCATCTCCCATATATGATTGATCATTTGGTTCCCCTTTATGTATATTTTCATTACATTCCCGTTCTTCTTGTAACTGCATTTCATCATAGCCATCATCTCCATCACTATTACTACCCTTTCCCATATTTAATATGGTATAGACCTCCTCCAAATACCCATCATTGTCATTATCATCCTCGTCAGCTTCATTTGTCACAATAACTTCGGTTTGCCGTTTTATGGCTGAGGGATGTCTGGGTGCTGGAATTTCATTATCGCTGGTTCTTTCCTGTTTAACTTTGATCGATTCTTTATTAACAATTTTTCTTATTTTTGTATTGGTTGGATTCCTTTTGGTCGCAGGTTTTACTCTGTCCCTTTCCCGTCTTACAGCTTGGGCTTTAGTACGTTTAGGCGAACTATTTTCAGGACTTTCGAGTTCCTGTAGCAAATTGTCCTCATCATCGGCTTGTGTCCCTATTTCCACAGGCTGTGCCACTTCATCTGTCACCTTCTCCTTGTTTGTCGCAACTTCTCCATTCTTCCCCTTGTCCTCCTCAGGCGTGGGATAAATAGTCTCTAATGCCTCCTGAGCCTCTTTTACTTTAATATAGAACTTATAATAGTCATTTAATGACTCCACACATTCCTGACAAACTTGTTTCGGTTTTAGATCCTGCATTCGTATGTGGACCTGACAGCACTCCTTGGCCTTTTGGCAAATATCATTTGTCTCATCGTTGATGGTAATCAAGTGGTCCGGTTTCTTTAGCGATGCACAAAGGCGGCAAAGGTAGATCATGTTTCGTTCAGTGCTTCTTGGTTTGGTGCTGGAGAAGCTATTTTCGTGCTGCGGAATTCCTTGAATTCCTTATCACTCCAATTGTTATGGACCAGCGGATCGTGAAAGAAGCAGATAAAAATAAGGAGCCAAAACAAACTTCAACAAGCCCAACAAGCCATTAGAGTCTAAACGCAACCAGAGAGTCACGAGTCAGCGTCATACTTTTTCGCCGGCGTGAAAACCAAACGAAAGAGTTGGCGTTAGCGGCACAAAATGTCAATTATTTGTTTTTATTTTCTGACAGAAAATTTTACGTTGTGCAAACAAAATTCAATTTATTATTTAATAGACAATAATGTCAAGGAACTTGGATAAAATTATTGAAAAAATTATTTTTCTTCCATTTTATTATTAATTCGTTCAAAAAACGTCCACAATCTTTGAAAATATTTGTTTTTTTTTAACAGCACTGCCATATGTTTTGATATAGATTCTCATTGAAATTTGGTAGAACTGTTCATTTTTACCTAAAATATGGCAACTCAACTGAGAGCAAGAGAGAACATTTGAGTATGACGCTGAGCAAAAATGAATAAAATCTATTTTAGCGTCAAGCGGCTAGACGAGAACGTCAGCCGTCGCGATTTCCCGTTGTCTATAAGAAACACACTGCAAAGGGCTGTCGCTGACTCTAGACTCTATGGTTGCGTTTAGACTCATAAGAAACACACGGCAAACGACTGTCGCTGACTCTAGACTCTATGGTTGCGTTTAGACTCTTAGCAAGCCAAAGTCTAAGGGATCTATAGAACGAAAAATGCAAAGTGGGATGTCTAGATCAGCAATTGGCACGCACAAGCAGCTGTTGCTTCTCTATTCACATTAAATTGATAACACAAAATTACCAACCAAAACATTGGTGCTCAGCTCTTTACGTTTTCGTTAAAAAAATTCAATGGTCAGATGATTTTCTTCCTATAGGGAAAAACGAGTACTCACTGGTCTTCAAATTTTTTTTCTATAGAAAACAATTCCTCAGCCTACTTAGGACTCTTTTTTTCTATAAAAAAATTCCTCAGACCTCAGAGGACTCTTTTTTCTAAAAAAAACCTCAGACCACTGAGAACTCTTTTTTCTAAAAAAATTCCTCAGTACCACTGAGGACTCTTTTTTCTAAAGAAAATATCTTCAACACGTTGAGAACTCTTTTTTCTATAGAAAAAAATTCCTCAGACCGCTGAGGACAGTTTTTTCTACAAAAAAAAAATCCTTTTATATATGAAAGAGTGCTCATTGGTCTGAGGAATTTGTTCTTTAGAGTTTTTCTTCCCTGCGATTTTTTTTTCAAAAAAGATAATGTGTCCTTAATTGTGTTTGTTTCTAATAAAAAGGTGGTCATCAGTGGTGTGATGATTTTTTTCTATAGAAAAGAGTTTGAAATAGTTTAAACCATTATTTACCTTGAATCATCTAGTGTAAGTGATCCCTTACTAAACGATGTTTAGTCTACGTTACGTGTCCGTTACTAATTCCCTCAAATTTAAATTACGTGCTATCAGTTGCCAGTGAATGCTATCGAAAAAGAAGAAGTGGAACAAGAACAAGCGCGAGATTTGCTAGTTTCATTCAAAATACAGCCATTTTGTGCAAATTTTGTAAGAATTTCAAAATAGAAGAACGAAAATAAATAGAAAAACAAAATAAAGATGTGGAATAATTTTGAACAATCCCCTTTGGAAGATGAAACTATTTCAAATGCTTTCTCTTCTCGGGGAATATTTCGTATTACCAGTGAAGATGAGGTGCGGTTTAGTGTTGAGGAATTTTGCAGTATTTTTAAATTGCTTTTTGTTGTTAATTTGTCTTCCAGATCCTACATCATCCTCATGTGCAGGCCTCGGTGCAAAATAAACGTATGGTTGTGGCCGTGGATAAAAGCATTTTCCTTTTGGAGGATGAACTTGTGGCCAAGTGTTTTGTATTGTCTTTTAATGCCAACATTGATATTTTGGCCATTTCGCATACAGGCAATTTAATTGTCTGCGGTTTGAGTGATGGTGAAATTCATGGAATTTATATCAAGGGTGTACCATTGTTTAGTCAATCGATTAAAGCCGAGGATATACATGTTGTGGGTGGCAAGACATTTGCTGGCATACAACAGGTGGGCAATACATTTTGCATAACATGCACAAATGGCAGTGTTTATAGGTGGGTATTTTTTTAGTTCCAAATTGATTTTTAATTGACTAAAACAAATATGTAAAACTTTTTGCAGCTTGACCGAAATCGATGAAAGTCCTTTGGAGGATAAATTAAACACGTCGTTGGTTGAAAATGAAATAAGCGATTTGGAAAAACATTTCTCCAGTGTTTGCCTCAAACGTATGTTTACCATTAGGGGGCTGAATGAAATCACTGCCGCATTGTTGATCAATCAAAATATGGATTATGTTGATATGAGTAAACAAATGGAACCACTGGTTATTGCCGGTGCTCATAATGCTGTCTATTTGCGTTCGTCACCGGATGATATTGTGCGATTGAGTATTCCCGAAATGTATCAGGGTGTCAAGGAAATCTATAATTTGGAAAATTTCATGTAAGTTCGTTATTACTATACTTGATATTTAATAACGTATTAAGTCATATTTTGAACTTTGAGGGAATGTCAATGGCCTTCAGACTTCAGAGTTGTGGTGGGTATAACCTTTTAAGATGGAACGTACCAGAGATGGATTCCTGTTGTATCATTCTGCCCAGCACAGACCAATTTCGCTTAAGTCTGACTCTTGTGACACATGGAATTTTTTATGGTGGTAGCAGTCAAATGTGATACCGCCGAAGTAGAGTTCTTTAACGTATACATTCCGCCGTTAAATATCCTTATTCCCCGTTAATTATCCGGCAATAGAAAATTAATGGAGATTGACAAAGTTCGCCGGACACACCATGGTGTCACCGTGTCTGATAAATAACGTAACCTGGCATCACGTCTTTGCCCTAAGATCAGACCTATCATCGTTTCTGTTTATAAACCACCCGACTTATTTACGTCTGTACGCCGCACTTTTCTGAATCATATGAAATCTAATTGACTATCATCAACAGATTGTAGATCATAATGAAGATCAATTTTGTCTTCCCATCACATTTTTCCCATTTTTTGTTACCTTTTTAACCATTTTCTCTGCTGTAGTGTCATGAACTAGCCATTTTAGATTCGCAGTGGAAACTTTTAAAAATTATTTTAATTAAGATTACCATCTAGATTAAAGTTTTCATAATGATTGAGTCTAATAACTTCGGGTTAGAGACCTCCTTTTACTAATTTTTTTTTTACATTTTTGTCCTTAGTATCATTCTAACCAATTCGGGACATTTATTGGAACTTTGTCCATATACAAAAATTCTATTGGATACCTGTGAGCTAAGCGATCCACCATTATTAATCGACAATCTAATTGTTATGGATTGCAATGATGAGCATATTGAATTCCTTATTCTCACCAAGCATACCAAACAAGATGAACGTTGTATTAAAATTGTCGATTATCCCGGTAAGTGCTCCACCCATTTTCAAAATCCATTTTTAATTGCAATTTTTATTGGTTTTCACAGGTCTTAAATGCCACAATGAATTGGATGTGTCGGAACACTCTTGGTTGGTACAGCAACCAAAATGTTCAGTAAATTTATATTATTTATCTGGTGGTGAATGTAATGCAAATGATTTACCCACCATTTTGGAAATGATTTTGGTTTCGGAAACACATCCAAGTGAACGTTTTAAGAAACTAATTGCCAAGGGCCACTTGGAAGAGGCTGAAGATTTTGGTCGACAATTTGAGTTATGTCTACAGCCGATTTATGAGGCAAAGGCTAAGAAGATATTAGTTGAAATGAATTCGTTGAGTGATGTAAGTATATGATTTACTTCATAAATAATCGAAAAATATTAAAACCGGTTCTCTTTTTTCTTTCAGAATAACCCCGAATTATTAAATGAGCTTTTTGCCAATCTAATGGAACTTTTACACAAAATTGAAAACAAAGAATTCTTCCGGCAAAATCGTATGTTTAACATACCATCCCGAAAGATTTTGGAGAAATATCTTAAAGAGGTTCTAAATCATTTGGATGAAGAGGTATAATGTGTACACACACACTTTTCAATATATGTAAATATGTATTAATTATTAACCCCTCTCATATTGTCCTTACAGATCGACGAACAACATATTTTAGAAATTGTTGAGCAATTGGATCGTTTGAAAACACTGGCCATTCTTGATCCCTATGAAATAAATATGGATTGGCAAAAATTTGTCTATCATCCAAATTTAATAAAATATATAAATTCTTTATTTAAATCGGATATGTCAACAGCATCCTTAATCTGGAAACGTCACTCATGTGCCATATTACCGCAATTAAATGAAAATGAGTTGAGAAAGTTGCTGAGTTTAATACCCAGTGATACAAAACCTTTCAATATTTTACAATGGCTTAGGCAATTTGTTCCAGTTGTTAGTAATACCCATCCAAATATAATGCCATTCATAACCGACTGGAGTATTGAAAAAACACGTTCACTGCAATATGCTGAACATTGGCCTGAAATTGGTTTGGAATTTTCAACAAAAGTCACTGAAATATTTGAGGATATACAATTTATGCACTCGGATGTGAGACGGCAACATGAACGTAACATTTCCAAGCTAAGGGATTTGGTTAATGCCCTGCAGGATTTATTTGTGCTGAAGAAGAGTTATAATCTTATTTTTACATTGGATAATTATTTGCAGGTGGGTAGGAATTTTACTAAAATTTTAGTGTTTTTATTAAAATTTAAACTCTCTCCTTCCTACAGGACAGCATTGATGAAACGGCTAAATGTATTTTGCTACGTGTCCATTTGGATAATTTAAAAAGTTTGGTCAATGATTTCCTTTATCCAATATATCAGGAAAAAGGCAAATCTCCAGTGGCTGCCATTAGACGTTATATATGTCAATTGGTTGCCAGTCGAAATTCATTTTCCACATGGCTGGAGAGATCAGTGGCCTGCATCGACCTTTTGCACAATGAAGATGATCGTTTGGAATCGGCTTTATTAGTGCTACAGGTAAGCCAATACATAAACTAAAAATGTACGATTATTTTTATTGATTTGTGGTGATTATTCTTTTTCAGAACTCTCCCGTTCCCTGGCCTGATACGGTTGATCCTTTGATCAAATTACGCTACTCAACCCACCCATTGGCATTGAAAATCAATACAGAATATGAAATTCAAGTTATTAAAATTATGAAAGCCAAATATAATTGGCCAGCCGATTGTGCATCAGATATGAATTTAAATTTATTTATGTTTCGTATTATAAAAATGGATTTACCCGATATGTTGGATGATATACGCATTTTGACGAAAGCAGCACCAGAAATTGCCACCGCGGCCAATTTTAATTGTTGCTATCAAATGGTGCGAAAGGGTAAGCCAGATGTGGCATGTGAATTTTTTAAATCTCTTAAGGCCGATATAAATCCGAAATATGCCACAGAGGTGGCGGAACTATTTGCGGTAAGTTTTTAAATAAACAAAAACAATTTTTTTGAAGAATATTTTTTAGAGACATTCCTCACGCTTCGTAGGTTGGTATAAAAAATAGTTTTAGGGACCACGCCAAGCGTGGATTAAAAAAAAAAACTTTTTTAAGGAACCTCCGAAGTGTCGATTTAAAAATATATATATTTTTTTAAGAAATCTCCGAAATGGAGATTAAAAAAAAAATAATTTTTTAAGGAATTTAAAACTTTATATGTTGTTTTTATTTTCAGGAAGTTTTGGAACACTCTCCCACACCCCTAACTGAGGCGGCAATATTGGAACAAAAAAATCTAATTGAATTCTTTAAATTCATTTCATCTAAGACTTGTCCAACAGCACAGAAACGTTTGAAGGCCATACAAAATCGTTTCATTCTTCGGCACAAATACGATTTACAAATCAACGATGTCATTGATTTGGCACCCTATCAAAATCGTCTACACTATCTCAGCATGGCTTTGGAAAATGTCATTAAACGTAGCCAAGAAACCGATAATGTTTGTAATTATTTTGTTGGTGAAATTTCCGATTTGGCCAATGCCTTGGATTTATCGAAAATGTTTGTGGTAAAGCGATTGTGTCAGCGTACAAAATGTCTCATCATAACCTGTGCACTAACCTATCAAATGTTAGATATTATCGATTGTAATAAGGATAATAAAAATGATTTTATTGACTTGGCTCTGGAGTTATTGGCCCAACAAATACAGCTGACAAAAAGTTCACAGAACTCCAGTACATTGGCTGCCCTACTCAATGATAATGATCCTTTGGCTTTCCCCTTGGCATATGAGTTATTGGTTCGGGCCTCTGTGGTGGAGACGAATCGAATCAATGAATTGTCGGAATTAATAAATTATGTGCGAATTGGTAGTACCGGTTATAGTTCAGATGCCATATCACAATTTTATGAAAATCGTGATAAGGAAATATCGCAATTAATTTGTGAGGCCATAGATGCCTCAGAAATAACTGTGGGCGAGATCACATTGAATTTCTCAACGAATTTGAATAATTCCTTTGACATCAAACAGGAAATTAAACCCAAAAAACGTTATTCCGTTTCGGTGTTTGATGATGTGGCACCATTACCCACTCAGACTTCGCAAGCAAAGGTATGTTAGGAGAAAAAAAATAAAAATACTCTTAGTACCCTATGTGTATATTTCAAATCTTACAGGTCAATCACAGTGAACATATCCATATTGTCAAATTTATTTCCCGCACCTTATTATTTCTAATTGTTCAAACTCCTCCCACCAATTATCTGTTGATAAAATTAAAAGAATTCATATTTGGTCCTAATTTGGATATAAAAATTGATGTAGATAGTGCCAAGGATGATTTCTTTGTATCGTTGGAACATCTCATTAAAAATAAAATGCACACCGTATGGTATACCATGGCCCAATATGTTTTGGACTATCAAAAACGTCATAATTGTAAATTGATAAATTGCGACTTTGTATCCCTGCAAATGGGTAGAGTATTTCGTCATCTCCTATCACAGAAGGATGTCAACTTTCTGGGTAAGCTTTTTATTTATTTATTTATTTATTCGTTTCCTTTGCAATTTAAGCCAATTTACAATTCATGTGGCCAATTTAAAGTTAATTACAAAGATTCCACCTTATTTCTTTTTAATTTCTTTTAAATATTTGAATTAAAAATAAATTGAAAAAAAAAATAATATATCTTGTTTTTTATAGATCTCTTTGTTATGCTCATTTCCGATCCACATTCATCAATGCTTTTGGAAAAGCTGGAAAATGATTTGAAAACTGATCAACAAAAAGTAAATTTCCTAATACTCTCCGAAATGTATAATGTGCATTCGGAAGATACCATCAATGTGGAGAATATTAGGACAAAGTAAGTAACAAAATTATTAATAATTTATTTCAAACAACAAAACAAAATTCACTTACATCCATTTCCAAGTATTTGGAACATTTTTTTATATACATATTTTATTTGTTTTCCTTTCCAGACGCATCAAACATTTTTATTATATGGAATTTTGCAAACAAGATCCCTCAATCAAGGGTAAATTCAATGCCGATATTGATTCTATAGAACAGCTACTGAAAGAATTTCACAATAAACAATTGGATGTTTCTTTGTTGGAGAGGATGAGTGCCGATTTCAATTTGGACTATCAAAAAATGTTGATATCACAAGTAAGTTCCATATCAGTTTTTATTTATGTTTTCTTATCAACAGGATAACATCTTTAAGATGTCTGCATAAAAGGTAAGTGTTTTTTTATCTGAAAATCTTGCATTCCGACAAAGAGATATAGGAAACTTATATAAAAAGGCCAGTAAATCAAAGATTAATCTTGTGATTGGGATGCCTACAAAGGAAATTTTAATAGGTATAAGACTAAGATCGAGAAAGCTAAACGTAAGTCTTGGATATATTTTTTTAGTGAGTCGATATAAGAGACCTGCATAAAAGCTAAGTCGTTTTTTGTTTTTGAAAACCTTGCATCCCTCAAAAATCGAAGTATGAAAATAAAATTTCAATAAGTACAAAAGTGAGATTAAGAAAGCTAAACGTAGATCTTTGGATATGCTTTAGTGAGTCGATAAAATGTGTTAATGAAGCGGTGAGATCTTGGAAAATAATATGAAAGGATCCTAAGTCAATATATAGTATTAAAGAAATGATTTCACGTGGATCGTCTCTGGTTTAGAGACCATATAATTTTCGTCAGATACTCATTTTCCGGAGAGTAGAGACTTTTCAAGACTATAAATCTCTAGGACCAATTCGTGTAACATCAGCGATGCTGCAAATTGACGCTTCATACCAAGTCTTGCGGATAAGGTAATGGTGACATCCATTCCGGAAGATGGGAAACCTAGTATCACTTTACCGAATGATTGCAGACAGATTAGTCTTTCTTAACTTCTTTTGAAGGCAATGGAAAGGTTACTCGATCTTGAGATTAGAAAATCCTTATACTTCAAAAAAACGGAGAACTACAATTCAACGCTGGCGGTCTTCCTTACTATAGAACCTCATAAAATGTATTGGTAGGTAATGCGGAGACTTTGTTTGTTCCAACTTGTCATTTTATCTCAACGACTTGAAAAATGCCGTCGAGCGTTACGCCCAATTGCAAGTGCCGATTGTCGTTTATCACCCTAACAGTTCCCGATGCCTTAAAAATTGGCAGGGTGGTTTTGCTACTGAAGGCATGCAAGGATGCCAGCAAAGGTGAATCATACAGACCGATCTCAATTTTGTCGCCAATAGCTATGACTTTGGAGGCATTGATACTGCCGGAAATGGCACAACAACAGCTTTGCACACCATTTCCACACATATAACCGAAGGACTCAACCAGAACAGGCCGTTTAATACATAGGACAGTTATGGTGACGCTGGATCCCTATTATAATATCAATAGACTAATCCGACGTCATAACTTCCGAACGTCGTACTTTCCTTTACCATGTGAAAGCCAATAGGCAAGAGTTCAGAAATTTCACCAATCAGAGAACTGTCCATTCCTTCTGATGCTCAGTTAGCTGGGTCATATACCCGAATTGAACCACAACTTCCCAGCAGAGTCGGCAAGATTAGCATTTTAGCGTGATGAACTTCGTCGTACAAACCCTAGAATCAGAGAACTGACAATGGAGGTAAAAAGTTTAGTCAGGAGGAACCACCACAATTTACGTTGGAGCATGTGGGAAATGCGTTCATAAGCGCAACATCATCCAAGGCGCTTAGAATCTCTACGATGCTATGTTGAAGCAATTTGATGAGCCAGGAGTAAAGCACCTAACCACAGTTTTCCATTTGTCGTTAGTCACCCTAATAGTTCCCGATGCCTGAAAAATGGACAGGGTGGTCCTGCTACTGAAGCCAGTCAAGGATGCTTTGCACGCCTTTTCCACACATGTAACGAAATATGTCGAATAATACGGCAGTTATGGTGTCGTTGGATTTACCAAAAGCATTTGATCAACCCTCCTGCTTAATTTAAAACGTTGGATCGTAAATTATATGTTTGGACGCCAGTCGTACCTGGAATTCAGAAATAAGACGTTGAAAGCCAATAGATTTAAAAAGGGAATTTCGCAAAGAGTGGTGATATCTCCGGACCTGTTTAACTTTGCCTTTTTGAAATTCCACGTCCTACGGAAAGATCGCTGCGTACGCGAAATTCAGCTATACCACCACATGGACAACGGAGATGCTGCTACCATTTAGTGTGCAGGTCGATGGGTCCACAATTCCGGTCATCAAATCCGGGCTAAGATTCTTGGGGACACATTCGATAGTCTCTAGAAGTGGTTCGCGCATACCACAGCTATTTGCTATAAAATCAGGAGCAGAAACAATGGTCTCATGTTGCTAGCCGCACTTGGGGAGCTGAAAAAGAAACCTTTTTAATAACATATTCAACTATAGACCGGTTTGTTATAAACTATGCGACCCCAGTGTGGTCCGCCATGTACGGCAGGACCAAAAAATTATGATATATGCGAGAGTCAGAACAGCGGACGAGGAATAAGGAAATGTCCGCCACAAAATCAACAGCGAACATGCGCCTACTTGAGTGTGCAGGTCAATGGGTCCAAAATTTGAAACTAATTACCACCAAGGTTCTAGGGACCACATTAGATGTCTTTAAAAGTCGTCCGCGCATGCCACAGCTATTTGCGATAAAGTAAGGAGCAGGGACATACAAGGTTTTCATGTCGCTAGCCGATATCATTTGGGGAGCTGATAGAGAAAAATATTTATTTGACTCACTTTGTATATTTTTCAATTTTCCTTATTTCAGGTTATAAGCATTTTGCAGGCTCAGGAAATGCAATTCGAAATCAAAACAGATAGTTTTGGAGATGAAGAATTGGTGATGATAACAACCGTTGAGAGTATACGCAACCTATGTCAACCATATATAAATGAAATAAAAAATACCGAATTTTTAACATCCAAACTTAAGCAATTTATAGATGAGGTAAAATAAAAAAATCCTATCAGTTAAAAACTATAACTCCCCTCAAAACTTTTCTTACAGATTAACATCTATTTCTATGAATTATATTTATGCGTCATCGAAATTCTCTTATACTTCGAAGCTGTGCCAAAAGAAATGCAAGTTTGGACAAGTATTCTACATTTTCTAAAACATAAAATGGTTGTACGAAGACGCAACCGTCCCGGTCAATTAGAGAATGATATGTGGTTTGAATCACAAAAAGAGATTGGTGTCTTACCGAAGATAGCACGTTATCGTTTGCCATTTAAACCGATTGTCGAACAACCGCTGAAGGATATTTTAGATTCCGAATTAAATGTCGACAATTGTGAATCATGGTTTCCACTTATACAAATGCACACTGTGCTTAAGGGTTCCACAGATATTGCACACAATTGTGACTATTTTTGTATGTCGGCTGTTAAGAATTCCATTACAGAATACAAAAGTCGGGATGATGGTGAAACATGGCATTTGCAACCTACAAATAATGCTTTCCTTAAATCCATTTTACGTTTGGTTAAACATGTCCATAATCCTTCCAAAGCATTCCTGATCTTATATTTTGTTTCCAATTATGCCCCTGATGGTGCTGATCAAGTTGAGGCATCCTATGAATGTTATAAATATTGTATAGAACATGAAAAGGAAATAACCGATACAAAATGTCAAGAGCAAATTATTAAAATTAAACGAAATTTCCCCATATTGAAGACACAACATCTGCTTTACATTTATGGGTTAACCGATGAGAAGACAATGCGTCTTATTGAAAATCCCACTGAGTTAATATATCATTTGTATCATCATGATATACTATTGAAAGGAGGTAAATTGGACATCAATACGGTGGTGAAAGAAATTGCCGAATTGCATAATCTGAATTTGGAAACGATACAATTTAAATTGCTACAAAAATGGTTGTCGTTTACGGTTGACACCCCAGATGGTACGGTATTGGATGAAACGCTCTTTGAAGATCAAAATTTGGCCGATAATGCCAGTGAAGATTCAGGAACATCGGCAGAAAATGTTATAAGGTAATGTAGGATTTTTTTAGAAGTTGTTTTTATGATTTAATAATTTTATTGTTTTTTTTTTTTAATTTTTGTATTTTTAGAGCAAATTATGTCATCAATAGCTGGCCTAAAGAAGTGGCAGTGCAATTTTTGGTAGCTCATATTTTTCCAGCTGATGGGTAAGTTTATAATTTATTTTTTCTTTGGATTTTAAAACACAGTTTTTCATAATGTACAATTTATTCGAAATGCATAAAAATAATAGTAAATATTTAAACATAAGATGGAGCGTGGACGGACTCGAGACCTGAGACTCTTAATCTCTTAGCTGAGACTCATTTCCAAGGTTGCAAAGATGTGGATGCCATCAACGGTGAACGTGATGACACTCAGCCTCTCGCGACTCTAGATTTGGATCTGATTGGCAAGGTGGTTAACAGAAATAAGATACGCTGGGCACTCAATACATTTAAACCATATAAATCGCTAGGACCAGATGGAATCACACCGGCGATGCTTCAATTTGTTTCACTAAGTATATATCTGATCCTTGAGAAGATCTATACGGCGTGTTTGACTCTCACTTGCGTTCCGGGTCTATGGAACGAAGTAAAGGTTACTTACATTTCCAAAATGGTGAAACCAAGCTACTCTGCACTAAAGGACTATAGACCCATTAGCCTATCATCATTTCTCCTCAAGACTCTCGAAAGACTGATCGACCTGGAGATTAGGAGTCGTATAGACACCACCTCTCTTAGCAATTCACATCACGCATACATAAAGGGCAAGTCTGTAGAATCTGCACTGCTCGATGTTGTAAGTTACATTTAGAGGAGTATGGAAAATTCAAACTTTACGCTGGCTGTCTTCCTAGATATAGAGGGAGCCTTTAACAACGTTAAACTTGAGTCCGAAAACCACTAACTCAAAAAAGTTGGCACTCCTGAAACCCTTACGTGTTGGATAGAAAAAATGCTAAACAACAGAATTAAAAAATTCAAATTTGGGGGATACAAAATCAGAAAAATCGTAACTATAGGCACACCTCAAGGAGGGACGCTCTCACCGTTACTATGGCTATTGATAATTAACAACATACTGATGGAACTAGACGGGAAAGGTATCAAAGTCGTAGCTTATGCGGACGACGTAGTGATATTGATTTTCGGAAAATTTCCGTCAACAATCTCGGAGCTTATGCAAAGAGCATTACTGGCGCTGTCACGCTGGGCCAAGACGAACGGCCTTGGTGAAAAGACGGAACTGGTAATGTTCACTAGGAAGCGTAAGCTCGGCGTTTCTGCTCCACCAACACTGGATGGAGTGCAACTTCATCTATCACCCGAAGCAAAGTACCTTGGCACAATCCATTACGATGGAACAGGAACGCTGAGGAACGGGCGAAGTGAGTGCACTCTTGCATGCAAAAATTACACTGGTTGTATAACACCGTAGTAAGGCCCATCCTTTCCTATGGTTCTCTTGTTTGGAGGAACTGCCTGCGCCAAAAGTCGACATCCAGCAAATTAGATAAGGTACAAAGATCCGCCTCGATTTTAATAACAGGAGCCATGTGGAGCACGCCACAAGCATCTCTGAATGCAATGCTGAACTTAAGGCCACTGTTCCTCATCATTAAGTGTCAGGCCGCACGTAATGCCCTAAGGCTGCATGAACAAAATCTTTGGCAATGTTGTCTTTGGCATGGTTGTATCTTGAACGAACCAGGTATGACATTGGACCTACGCGTAAAACTAAGCGACTATATATCACCAGTCCTGAAATTTGACGATGTAGATGTCGTTATTTCTAGTAGAGACGACTGGAATCGGGCTAACCCTCCTCTGGACGGTCTGGCTTTCTACATAGACGGATCCAAGATAGAAGAAGGTACAGGGGCCGGTTAACCTACAGTTAACCTTGAGTTAACCTACAAGCTGGATAGCAACTGTAGTGTTTTCCAAACTGAAATCTTCGCGATTTGGAAGGCAGCGGAACTGATAAAAAGTCTGGATCCAGAGATCATTGAACCGTTGCCTATCTTTGTGGATAGTCAAGCGGCACATAAAGCCAAATCTGAGACCGTCCTCAAGTGTATTACAGCTTTGGAACAACTTACCTACAGCTATCGGCTGTGTTAGGTAACAAGACACCGTGACATCATGGACAAAGAAAGAGCAGACGAATTATCAAGACGAGGATCTCAATCTACAGACCTAGCAATTGATGGCTCAATCAAACCACTCATATGTCATCTTTATCGGAATTTTGAAGCGTTCTTCGACGAAAGAGCCTATGAAATCTGTCTACCAAAAGGACACACTCAGTGTGGAACCTGAGCAAAGCTGAAATAAGAATAATGACATGAATGACAGGAATCATTACTGGTCATTGCAATATCAGGGCCTTTACCATGATACAAATGATTAATGTAGACTCTCTGTTGACGAGGAGGAGACGGAGACAATTGAGCATCACTGTCCAGTGCTGGCTTACAGACGGCCCAGACTAGTGGGTGCTCATTTTCCACCGAGTCTTAGTATCTTCTCAACAACGGAACCTGCTCTAATCTACAGCATAATTAGAAAACTAAAGTGGTTGGGAAAAGTACAACCTTGACACGTAATATATCTTCTGTCCAATCTTTATAGCCATCGATACTATCTCATACTTACCTTCATACACTTCCTTGCAAGCTTCCCATCTCTCTATCCCCCTTCTTCTCTCCTCCATGGATCTCTCCATATATTTTTCTTTTCGTGGATGATCACAATAGACCTGACGGTCTCAGAGTGCTGCAGCCACAAAAGTGACTGCACATTCCCAAACCTAACCTATTTTAAAAATAAGTTGGAATATTTGTATTATGAATACTCCACAAGGGATTAGTGTGGATATCGAATAAGTAAAAACAAAATACTTCTTTCATTCTACCTGCTTTTAAAAACAGATTTGTTAACGTTTTTGAAATTGGGTCGAAATTGACCATCTCAGATTTTTATTTGCTGGTAGACTTGTGTTTGGAACATACCTCATTTTCACACATATTTGCAGAGGATCTAACCAAAACAGACCATGCAATCGAACCCATTTAATATTACTTTTTTATTTTCCTTTTTGCAGCACCGTTAATACCTCCAAACAGCTACAAATGTATGAATGCTATTTCAAATTGTACGATGGCAGTAAATCGTTTGACAATACCTTGAGTCAGAAGCAATATATTACCATAAAATGTGTCCATGAACTGAAAAAACTCGGCTATAATTCTAGTTTAGATAAATTCGCGAATAGCAATAAAATTGATATCCTCAAGACAATATGGCAGCGAAACACTCACAACGCCAATACATTACAAATATTGGCAAACATTTGTCTTGGATTTGATATCTATTTATCGAAAGTTTGGAATGGTATATTGAAACGTATGGTTATGATTGGTATGGTGAAGGAATTGAATGCCTTAGTGGATTTGCTATCATGTAAACCGCAATTGTTGCACACAGAAGGTTTAATTTTGGCATGGGATTGTGTTCTAATGCATCCCTTTAAAAATGCCAATCAAACCAAGTCGATGGAACAGGAGGAACTATTGCATAAGACATTGTTCCGATTGCAGGTGAGTTTGGAAAATTAATTTTATTATAAAATACATTTTTATATTTGAATTATTTGTTTTTTTTTTTTTTTTGTTTTTTGTTTTTGTTTTTTTTTAGAGCTGTCCCGTGGTGCATTCTTTGAATCTTTTGAAATTTGCCGAAAATTGTGAACGTTTGAATAGACCCCACATGGCTGCAATATTTTTGGCATTCTGTCGAACTGACGAACAAAGAAATCAAATTAAAAATGTGAGTATAACACCACGCAACATTTTTAAAAATGTATTGATGTTATGGTAAATATTCAAATATTTAATAGACATTGGGATGGATTTGTGAAATAATATGTTATCTATTTATTATTACTCATAATCAAAATATTTAAAATTGTTTCCATTCTCCATTTCTCATTTCAGCTCATCACAACACGCAATGCTAAAATGCGTCAAGACATTTTAGATTTAGAAGATGCCGGAATACTACCATTTATTTTAAATTTTGCTCTTAAAGAATTGAAATTATAGATTATTGCGTGGCAGATTTAAGTTCTTCATAATGCATATGCAAATACATAACAGGTATTCATTCATATCTCATTAACCCATTCCATTAAGTTATTTTTACTTAAAGTTATTTTATTTAATTTAATTTTTTTCCTTCTATATTTATATCACATGAAAATAATAAATCAAATACTTATTATGAATTGTTTATAATATATATTTTTTGTTTTATTTATTTAATTTATAACCATATTAATATTTATGATTTTTATACCCTTCACCACACTGTGGTACAGGGTATTATGTCTTTGTGCATATGTTTGTAACAGGCAAAAGGAAACGAGATAGACACATGGTTCCTTTTGAGAATATGCATAGAATCACTTTCTAAGTCGATTTATGCATGTCCGTCCGTCCGTCTGTCCATGTATTTTTGTGAGCAAAGTACAGGTCGCATTTATGATCCGAATTGGATGAAATTTGGCACAGCTCATTTGTTTGGCCCAAGGACGAACCCTATTGGGAAAAATCGGTTCAGATTTAGATATAGCTCCCATATATATATTTAACCGATTTAATGTAAACGGTCCCTATATATCTTTCGATTTGCACGAAATTTGGTACAGCCTAATCATTTAGGTCTAGAATGATGTCTGCCAAGTTTCGTGAAAATCGGTCAAGATTTAGATATAGCTCCCATATATAGTTTCGTCCGATTTAAAGTGAATGGTGCCCCAAAGTCCCTATATATCTTTCGATTTGCACGAAATTTGGCATAACGTATTGAATTAAGCCTAGAGTGATGTCTGCCAAGTTTTGAGAATATCGGTCCATATTTAGATATAGCTCCCATATATAGTTTCGCCCGATTTCATGTAAATGGTGCACCAAAGTCCCTATATATCCTTTGATTTGCACGAAATTTGGCATAACGTACTGAATTGAGCTAAAGTGATGTCTGCCAAGTTTCGAGAAAATCGGTCCTAATTTAGATATAGCTCCCATATATAGTTTCGTCCGATTTCATGTAAATGGTGCCCCAAAGTCCCTATATATCTTTCGATTTGCACGAAATTTGGCATAACGTATTGAATTAAGCCTAGAATGATGTCTGCCAAGTTTCGAGAAAATCGGCCCAGATTTAGATAAAGCTCCCATATATAGTTTCGTCCGATTTTATGTAAATGGTGCACCAAAGTACCTATATATCCTTCGATTTGCACTAAATTTGGCACAACGTACTGAATTGAGCCTAGAGTGATGTCTGTCTTGTTTCGTGGAAATCGGTTTTGATTTAGATATAACTCCCATATATAGTTTCGTCCGATTTCATGTAAATGGTGCACCAAAGTCCCTATATATCCATCGATTTGCAGGAAATTTGGCATAACGTACTGAAGTGAGCCTAGAGTGATGTCTGCCAAGTTTCGAGAAAATCGGTCCTTATTTAGATATAGCTCCATATATAGTTTCGTCAGATTTTATGTAAATGGTGCACCAAAGTCCCTATATATCCTTCCATATGCAGGAAATTTGGCATAACGTACTGAATTGAGCCTAGAGTGATGTTTACCAAGTTTTGAGAAAATCGGTCCTGATTTAGATAAAGCTCCCATATATAGTTTCGTCCGATTTCATGTAAATGATGCACCAACGTCCCTATATATCCTTCGATTTGCACGAAATTTGGCATAACGTACTGAATTGAGCATAGAGTGATGTCTGCCTTGTTTCGTGAAAATCGGCCTAGATTTAGATATAGCTCCCTTTTATTTTAGATTGATTTTAAGTAATTGACGCACCAAGGAACCAATAGGAACAAAATGTTCTGAAATTAGTATAACCTAACCTGTGACAAGTTTGTTTGAAATCGCTTAATATTTGGATAAAGCTTCCATATACATTTTCGCCCGATTTCAAGTAAATTGGGCATCAAACTGCTCATGTTAGTCAGATTGACATCAAATTTTGCACAACTTACAAAATTGAGCATAGAATTACGTAGTTGCGTTTTCCAGAAGTACAGATATAGCCCAACGGATGACCTATTTATATTTGTTTGAAGTCGATCTACATACTTTTGTCCCATTGTAACAAACGAATGACATGTTTATGGATAGATCTAGGTATTTTATTTCATCTAATTTCATGTTAATAGTCCTGTTTAATATACCCACAGTGGTGAAGGGTATCATATAGTCGGCCCCGTCCGACTTTACTACTTTCCTTACTGGTTTTATTTAAGTTTGTTTTTAAAACAATACATTGTATGTGCAACTTGTCAAAATGGGATAGCATTTTTTATTACTTATCTATTTATGGACATCAAAATACTTAATCATTACGTGAGTGATATATTTTTTGACAAGGGCGTTAACTCTATTCAAGGCCAAAGGAAGACATTCTGGAAGGTCTGAATGTTCTTTCAACAACAGCTGCACAGGCTATTACCTGAACAAATATTAGAACAAGCGCGAAATTTAAGCCACTTTTTATGGAATTTATTTTTATTCTCAAAATATCGAAATTTGAAGGTTTTTTAGTTGCATTTTTTAGTATAGTGATTTTCTTCCCTTCTGGAGAGTCAATGAGTGATGAGAGATTCTTGGTACCATGCACCAGTGCGAAGGGGCGACTATGACTTCTAACTGCCACGGCGGTTGGTTCTGTGTACCGGATTGACCCGGAGGTGGACTCCGACCAGAGGCTGTCACCTCAACAAATACATTTACGTGTGCGTTGTTTTTGTCATGGGAGAGGCATTATACCCCGTAATGCCTTTTCGAACCTTACTGGTCCGTGCCGGCATAAAAAGAAACACCGTTCCTTGGTTCGTAGATCCATCTCTGTGAAATGCAATTGATATAGAGAATGGGCGCATGTTTGACGTTGCTTTTAAACCGGATCCAGGAGTACTGCGAAAGGAGTTACGTTCCTTCATGCTCCCAATGTTTCTCAGGAATCGTCGTCTGAGGATACGATCAACAGCAAAACACGCAGCACTTAACACCACTTATTGCTGTTCCGCGCCTAGAAAATGCATCGTTCTTGCAGTTCAACTGCAATGGTCTCCGCAACAAGGTCAGCGAAATTGTGGAGTTTATGAGTAGAAAAAGAATAAGATCCAGGAAGCAAAGCTGAAGGAGAACAGTAGCTTTTAACATTGCGGTGGTTACAACGCTGTGCGAAAGAATCGTACCAGAGTCGGAGGTGGGGGACTTGCATTATTGTTACACCATTCTGTCCAGTACAGACCTATCTATAAGCTATACTCTAGTGACCCATACATTGAATGCATGGGGGTAGCAGTCAATTGTTGAGCTACCGAGGTAGAGTTGCTAAATGTTTATATACCGCCGATAAATAGCGGCACACCGCTTTATTTACCGGATATCAGTCCGCTTTAAGAAGGTAATAACCGCCTGGTACTAGGAGATTTCAATGCCCCCCATGAGTTATGACTTTCCGTCCTGTGTAATTACCAGAGGGGTACGGCGATGGCAGAGCAAATTGATAACTCAAAATTTTACGCGGTTAATGAGGATGCCCTCACGGGGATAAGAGGAGATTGTTCGCCAGACACCATCATTGTGACACCGGGTCTGATAAATGACATAACCTGGCAAACCATTTCATTTCACTGGACTCAGACCACTTTCCTATCAAACAGGCCATCCGACTTTATTATCTGATAAATGACGTAACCTGAACGATGGGAAAGCTGATTTGCCTGGTTTCAGAGTGTTTACAAATCCTCGGGTAGTTGACAGAAATTTTCGTAATATCATCACGGCTGTTGCCGCTCGCTTCATACATTCTGGTCGAATAGCCGAAGACGAAACTTCCCACCAGAGGCGACAGTACTGGCCAATGAACCTGATGAGCTCCGTCGTATGACTCTGAAAACTCAAGGGTGCGAGAACTTACCCTTGAAGTCAACAGATTAGTATGCGAGCACAAAAGGAAAAAGTGGTCAGACCACCTGATGCAGGCCGTGCAACCGAACAGTTACGCTGGAACTTGACCTATCGAAGGCCAAGAGAAGACAAATCTACGACCGTGTTTGAAACGTTGTATAATCAACTATTTGTGTGTACGTCAGTCGTATTTGGAATTCAGAAACAAGAAGTCTAACTTAGTAGAGTGAATCTGTAATGTATGCGGAAGATTGTACGATCATCGCGTCGCGTCCTCTCATTATTGATGACATTTGTGAGAGGTTTAACTTTTACACAACTGATCTCGTAAATTGTTTCACCACATGAACATAATGGTTCATTGGGAACTGATTCCGACTGGGGTAACGTTCGATAGTCTTTTCATGTTGTCTGCATAAGCCACTTTTCAGCGATAAGCTGAAAAGTAGTAATAAGGTCCTCAGGTCCTCCTAGCCTGCACAACTTGGCGCGCTGACAGACAAAGCCTGTTGATCACATTTAAAGCAATAGGTCGGTCAGGGGCACCAGTGTGATTTGCGATTGTAAATGATACGCAGTGGATGAATATCCAGATCTGCCAGAATGCTACCTAGAGAACTGTAACATAGTGTCTCCCCATGACTCCAGTGGACCATCTTCATGACGAGACGAATATCTTACCCGTCCATCGTCACAACTATATGTTGTCGATGCAGTACTTGCTAAGTCTTATGGACAGAACTCTCGGCCCAGACACCTCAGAAGAGTTTTTCATGATCTAGAGAGAGTGGCCCAAAGATATAAACGTGAACCTCTAGACAAAGAAGCCTATCAAGCAGGTCTGAATGGTATACGCACAGACGCAGTCGCTCTTCATTGTCCAAACGAAGTGGCTGTAATATGGCATTCCAAATTCTTTTTGAGCACAAAATTTCTTCGCAGACAATTTTATTACAGATTCATGTTACACTTGATATATATATAGTTAGAATTTATCATCTCCTTCACCAATTGGAATTTTAAAATTAAAGTAAATTTTCCACCATCATTATTCTGCAAATTACAGTCAAATTTAAATATCACATAAAAAACAAATTTTATTTAAAAGCC